CTTTCTTTTCTTTTGGTTTTTTTTCTTTTTGATATATAGATTGCATCAATTTCACTAAAACTAATTCTGAATAATAATAAGGATGATATTAAATATGGGACTGCCAACAGTACAAATGCTATTTAATAGAATGATAGTGAACAATTAAATATTCTTGGAAATTAGAAGGGCCTCTTAGCAGCATAAAATTGAAAAGCAACTTACTCTGGGCAGCTCCAATCTCCTTTCTTCATTTGAATATCATTTGTAACAACCTTCTTTGGACCTTCTGCCTTGCACTTTAAGCACCGTATGTTTCTAGAAAAGTTCATGAAATTGCACCTGGAACATGAAAGGCAATCAATGGACTATCTGAAGACAATATAAAAAATCTGCACACAAGAAGTCTTCAGCTGGGAAGCATGAAAATCATTGACGAGACTAATTAGAAGAATCAACAAATAAATTTTGATGGATATCAGAAAAATAATTCCCAACCAACACCAACTATAACACAAAAGAAATTTGATAACTTCATTCCTTCATTTCAACATATACACATCCGCAGACTGATTTCTAATAAGGGAATTCTTAGACTAATATGAAACCTGTACCAACAATGAGAAAAGTGCATAACAATGTGCTGTAGTGATAAACATGAGTTTCTCACCCATTGAACAGTGATAAGCATCAACTAGTATACTTAGAAAGCATTAAAATATTTGATTGCTGACAGCCAGGAAGATAATGCAAACTTACTCGGGGCAGATCCAATCTCCTTTCTTCATTTCAGTTTCATCACCACCAACATTTTTGGGGCCATCTTCTTTACATTTTAGGCATTGCAGATTTTTTGAAAAGTTCAAAAAATTGCATCTGCAATCAACAAGCAAAACTGGCTTATTATTGAAACTGCATGAAGTTCTATAAGAGCAAAGAATGTGGAACTTCAACCTGCGACATCTTTCTGTAAGTTATATTTTCATTGGATCATCCCTTTTTCCACCAACGGTACATTGCTCACTGCTCATTCAGGATCCTTGTAGGATGCTTATACCATGGAGACTCTAAACTTCATTCATATTTAATATTCGTCTTGGTTCAATTAGGGCTATAAAAAGTTTCTTTACTATTAAGAACCTGATTACTACAGGTCGTTGGCCTCTTCCTACCCATAAAGCAAATGTTTCAATATAATCAAATCATGAAAGAAATAAAGTCACTTTTTATTCAACAAGATGCAGGGAAATAACCTCAAAAGCAAAGAAAAGTCACATGAAACTTACTTGGGACACATCCAATCTCCTCTCTTCATTTCAACATTTTGAAAAACTTCATCATCATTGCCACTGATGGTTTTTTCCTTTCGAGGAGAAGCTTTAGCAGCAGGCCTAGGAAGTTCAGGAGCAGGTGACGTCTCACTCAATTTTGTCAAGTCAGAAAGCAGATTCCTTGCAGATACATCGATATGCTCTCTACCAGGAGGCTTCTCTCCCCCAGAAATAACAATGGGATCAAGGGCATAGGATAACAACATACGCACAATGTCCACAGTACGACCAGCACCTTCTGATTCCTTTAGTATCACATAAGCTCTATCACAGGAACCACGCAGATTGCAAGTACTACAAACCTGCAGAAAAAGTGCATTCTGACAATCACTCAAAGTTCTTACAGGCCTGGGCAGTTGGCAGCAAATGTGCCTTTCCAAACATGAAGTACATTTTCCAAGACGCAAAAAGTGCTCGAAAACCAAATAAACTAAATAACCGCAAAATTAACATATTGGAGAGTACATTCTTTGGTTGCTGAAAAAACTGCGCAAAGAATTTAATACTAAAAGGGAAAACAACATACATCCCCTTCATCAAGTCGAACATAGGCTCTCAACCTTTTAGCTGAATTCACAGCTTTTCGAAAAAGATTAGGACATCCACTCCCCACGACTGTTTCAATATCATTGGTAGACAACAATCTGCATTAAATGGCAAAAGGTGAAGACCAAATTTGTGACCACGTCAATTATATATCAAATTATTGCCATAAAACAGATAGCCTCCACTGCCACATAAACAATCCCAGAATTCTCTTTAAGTTTCACAGCAACTTCAGCACAGTAATAGTCTTCCATTTCACAATATAAGAACTAAAATTCCGTTTAGTTATGCGGTTACTCTTTGTTATCTGCTTTTGGAAGTAAAAAAGAAATAACAAAAAATAAGTAACAAAGAAACCAAATAGAGAGAGCTTTGAGTTTATTTAGGGGAGAAATGGAACTGGCCACTAAGCTAATGATAGCAGGGCCATTGAGAAAAAAACCATTACTTGAAAAGATCGTAACGGTCACGAGCAAAGCTAAGGCAAGCATCTTTCAACAAATTCATGTCCTTATAATCAGTGCCAGCATCGGCAGTGGCAGCAGTAGCTTCAACCAAGTAACCCTTGGACTTTAATCTGTCAACGAAATTTACCCATTCGGGCCAGGGGTGGGGTTCAGACGCCGAATCGAGAAGTTCTGTGCTGTTGGCGTTGAGTGTAGTGTCGAGGGCGGCAGCAGAGGAAGTGTGGCGGTGGAAGCGGAGGGAGAGGGCGGGAAAAGGCTTGGAGGAGAGAAGCTTAGGAGGAAAAGGAAGAAAGAGCGGTTTCCGAGCACGGAAGAGGGAGGTGCCGAAGAGTAAGGATCTTAAAGCGGACATTTCTTTGTTTGGCAGAGAGCAAGGGAGACAGAAGGAGAGAAGGATTTGTCAGGTGGCCATTGAAAACTGTTTGGAGAAGCAGGCTTTCTTGGCGTTTGAGGGTTTTAGAAGAACCAATAACTGAAGATAGGGTTTTCTTTCCTTTTAATTTTTTTTTAAAAAATTAATGCAAATACTATTTATAGTAATAATAATTCAATTTTTTATGTATTCACAGTCATTAGTAAAATTTAATTTTTATTTTTATAAATGTTTTTATTTAATACATTACTTTTATCAAAATTAAAAGCAAATAATATACTAATTACAAAAATCTTCTTATAAATATTACCTTATTCCCATAGCATTCTTTAACATTTTTTTTGTCTAATTAATGGTTGTTATTTATTTAATTCATTTTTCATCAAATTTAAGAAAAGAACAATATATTGATTATGTATTTGAATATTTGACTCATTAGTTGATGTATTATTTCTTATTTAAAAAGTAAAGTTTAAATTTACTTTTTTCAATTATATAAAAAATAATATATTAATTATAAAGGTTTTTTTCAAAATCATTACCTTAATGGGTATTTTAACAAAGGCATACCTGGATGTTACAATATTAAGTAATATTTTGGTAGATACCTTGGATTCATCACATTAATGGTCAATTATTATATTTAATATAAAAATATTAATAGAAAAATATCTTACCTATGTTAAGTAATAGAGTTTTGTTAATAAGTAAATTAAGGATACTCCTTTAAGATTATTGTATTAAATAATATCTGTTTTTCAATGCATTGAAAATAATTACATTAGATTTAATGTAAATAATATCTGTTTTTAATGTTAACTATTCTATTTAACACAAGAATAAGGGCACTTGTTAGTAAATTCTTAAATAGTATTTTCTCTCAATATATAAGAATTTCTCATATATATTAATCATTGACTATTACATTTAATACAAAAATATGGGTACTAATTTACTTTAAGATTACTATATTAATTAATAATTTTTAAAAAATTTTGAAAAGATTTTTGTTAACAACAGCTAAGTTAATTAAGATATTATTTATGTAAAAAACATATTAAAATTGTCAGGATGCTATTCAAAAAATTCACCAATTTATTTATTTGAAGGAGTTAATATATTTATTTATTTAAATTTAAATGAAACTAAATAAACTAAAAACTAAAAATCATAATTATACAAATAAATAATGTATTTTCTTTCAGTTTTATTGCTTTATATATGTTAGTACATTTCTTAAAAAATCATCAAATATCTTTTTATTTTTTATTTATTAAATTAATTTAGTAATGTTTAAATATACTTAATGGAGTTTATGATAATAAATGTCTGTTTATATGTTTTTATAGACAAGAAATCGCAGTAAACAAAAAGGACAAAAGAAATTAGAAAATAAATAGCAACGAACACCTAAAACCCATCTCCGGAACGTCATAAACCTCTCTCTTTCTATTTTTTTTTTAAAAAAGAAAAAGTTCTCTCTCGAAACTTTCCTCAACAACCCAACACGCGCCGAGATCTGCTCTTTCCGATAGGATTGCCAAATGAGAAGGGCCTCCTCATTCACCTCCTCCGTCCTCTCCAGGACCCTCGCCACCGTTCCCGACAGAGGGGCAGCCGCCGCCATCCAGCCTCGTTCCGTCCGGGTAGCGCTCTTTTGCAGCAGAACCAAAAATTCCTGCACTCGCCGGCGTTGGTTCTCTCCGGTCCTCACTTCCTTTTCCAGAAGCTCGGCTCGAGCCGTCGCTCTTGGTCTTGCAGGCGCTGTCGCGTCCGTTGCCACCGCTGCTTCGGTCTACGCCAAGGAGCCTCCACCAGCTGAGATCATGCCCAAGGACGTTGTTCTTTATCAGTATGAGGCCTGTCCTTTTTGCAATAAAGTTAAAGGTAGTTTACCTTTATTGATTTTCTTTTTCGTACTTTCATTGCATTCATTCGAATTCAAATTTTGTGCGACAAAAACAATCACTTTAAAATTAGTAGTAGTTGATTTGGTACTTGCTCATTTGCCTCTTGAAGCAAGAAGCAAAAAGGGGAAAACTTATTTGGATACCAAAGTAAATACTAATATTTTTGAATGATTAAAGTTTAAACAGTTAATGTTTTCGTTTTAGTTATATTCAAAACAATTATATTCTTACCATTTAGCTATTCGATAACATTTTAGTCAGATAATGATTTGCCTTTTACCTTCTAATTGAAATTTTAGGTGTAAGCATATTTGATTTTTGATTCATGACTCTGGGATCATCATATTAGGACCTGAACTCAGTGTCTGAGATTGTCCTCATTCCTTTTCTACAATTCTCTAATCTCCAAGAACCTAAACGTAAAAGACAAGAGAGGGAAGAAATGTAGCTTTTCCTTTATTTAGTAAATCCTTAGTCCCATCCATTGTAGGATTTAGGATTTCATATAGGCCTAATATTATGGATTATATTATTGTCTCATTATCCAGATCAAATTAACTTAGTCTAATCTTGATTAAATATAAAAGTAGGTGATATAAGTCTACATTTTAATTATAAGGGAAAATCTAGCACTAGCAACTTCTAAGGAAGTAGAATATAAATTGTAGCAAAAGCAACAACCACGGGAGATACTTAATTAGGTATCATTTGGTTGTTTATGCTACTCGCCTTTTGCTCTTGAAATAAAAAAGAAAACCGCATTCAGAAAGGAAGATAAATTATATTTTTGAAGAATTAAAAATTAAAAAGATAACAAATGCATGATTTTACTCTGATATGAAACAATTTATTATGTTAGAGTTGGCCTTGCCTTTTAGTCATTCGTTCATTTTCATAAACTATGATTTTTCTTTCTAGCAAATGCATTTCTAAGCAACTTTTTAGGAATTTAAAAGCAAAGAGCAAAAGTAACAAAGAATTAGACATTGAATAATTTCATGATTTGGGGGTTATTTCTTGGTGTTTCAGCATTCTTGGACTACTATGATATACCATACAAAGTTGTGGAAGTCAATCCCCTTGGTAAGAAAGAAATCAAGTGGTCTGATTACAAGAAGGTGCCTATTCTCATGGTCGATGGTGAACAGCTGGTAGACTCATCAGGTTCTTGTTGCCACAACTGTTTATAGTTTGTGTTAACTTTTTGGTCGGATATTTATTATGTGTAAAAAAGTAACCATTTCTTTTACATTATTGATTCATTTAAGCTCTTTTGTTGCAACAATTGATTGAACTGGCATGTGGAATTTGCAGCTATTATTGACAAATTGGCTGAAAAAGTCCTTCCAAAGAAAATGATTAATTCAGGCACTAATGAAGATGAAGAGACAAAGTGGCGAAGGTACTGTGTTGTTTAGTTATTTTTCTTGTTCTTGTGTGTGAATTTTCTTTTTTGCTCTTAATTCTTTAATCTGCCTTGGAACTTGGTCTCTGGGGCTTCTATGTATCAGCTGATATTGTTTAAAATTTGAGGCATGCTAGGGGCAGTCACCGCAACCGGTGCTTTTCAACACCTATCCTCTCAATGAGCTATATCATTGGACATTTTTATGTAGAGACTAGCAACTTCTTCTAGGAAGTCGCTGGACTTCATTAAACTTTTTTCTCTTCTATCACTAAATGCATATTATTTTAAAAAATTAAAAGATAAAGACAAATTCTTAAAGCCTTGAGGCCCAAACCACACGACATAACTAAAAGGGAGGAAAAACTAACTTGGGTGGGAAAAATAAAGAGAGAAATTCTCCTTCCAGGTGCAGAGACTGATATATCCTCTTTCTGTTTTGGTGCCATGTTTATTGGACATTCTTTTCTTTTTATTCAAATGGGGATACCAGGTGGCGAATACTATCTTCATTATTTTATCTCTATTTTTATCACTTATAATTTTAAACATGATTGGGTATCTATCACTTTTTGTTTTCCCCTGAAAGGGGTATCTATCTATCTATCTGCTTCTATATGAACTTGTCTTAGTTGTCTATATAGTATATAATATCTACGTATAACCTAAAAAATTGAGAAAAAAATAATTTTAAGGTAAAATTATATTTAGGAAATAATATAATAATTTAATATCTAAACCCATTGGAAATTGAGTTTCTTTTGACTATGACAAAATATTTCTCAATTGTAGATAATCTTTTCAATTCTACTTTTATTTGTATAATATTGGTCTAATTCTTATTAAAAATATTTTATCTGGCTTAGCAATAGTAATTGAGAAAAATTTAGATATAGATGCACTTGATTTAGTTTTCTATAAATTTTAGATTTGAAACTAATTGAGATAAAATTGATCATGAATAAATTCAAAATAATACCCAAATAATGGTATACTCATAGAAGACCAACCAGTCAATTATGTTTCTATACTAGAGTGTAGTAAATTGATGGGTATTTTAGTTTTCCGAAATTTTATTTGAGATGAGTGAAAGCCTACATAGACTTTTACTGTACAGTAAATGAAAGCAAGTTTACTGGAATTTTGATTAACAGGCTTCCCGTCTTGTATGTGAGATTACATGGGTTTTTTAACTGCTCGACTGTTGGAGCACCTACTTCTAGCATTCCCCTTAAATTTTTCATTATGTGATCTTCTCGAGTGATATCGTGTTGCTGCCAGTTGATCTCAATACCCACCCTCACAAAAACAAGAATAATTTGTATAGATATTTAGGTTACTTTGTAGTTGAGTCCCATGCTTACAAATATGAAATGTATACTTAGCAAAGCTGTTTGTAACATATCTATAATGAGCATAGATGCAAATATTCCTGGAAGTAGATACAGTTATGTCTCTTGCATAACTGTACGGATGCTGTTTTTTCTTCTGTCTCAGACTTGCTATCGATTGATGATCTCCTTCTTTATCACTGTGGTTGACATTTTACTGTATCATTTTCATAGTCTTCCTTGTGCTTTAGCTGCTAGAATTGCTACTTCATATTTGGTACACTACAATGTTGTCATTATGTAGGTGGGTTGACGGCCACTTGGTGCATGTCTTATCTCCAAACATATACCGCAACACTTCTGAGGCTCTTGAGTCTTTTGACTACATTACTAGCAATGGTAAGTCAATGCATGGATTTATAGTGTCTATACGTAGCTCCTTTGCCCCCCCACACCTT